ACTCCGCCCAGGTCAGCGGGCATTGCAGGAGATCCGCAGGTACCAGAGCAGCACCCGCCTGCTGCTGCGCCCCGGCCCCTTCGCCCGCCTGGTAAGGACCCCCCACATCCCAAAATGAACACTCCTGCCGTAAAATCCCCAGACAATGCAATTTCCCCCACGGAACCTTCCCAGTGCCCCCCATGGACTCCCAAACTCCCCTGGGACTGCACAGATCATCCCAGATACCCATAGAATCTACTTTTTGCTGGCATGTCTCTCTGCTAGGCAGATGATCATCTGTAGCACTAGCATTAGGACTGGGAGCTTCACATTTCTAGGAAAGGTACTGTCATTCACTTTGAGGGCCCAGGGTCTGACATTTGGATTCAAGATCCAATATTGAATGTCTAAGGATTGCTCCCACAGAAATAATGTGAGAACAGAAATTTGTTGCTGTCTTTTATCTTCACTTTGCAGTCATGTGAACACCACCAGCAGGATTATGTATTTCCCTTCCCAAGGAAAGGTACCGTCATTCAAGTTCAGGAGCACAGTTGCAGCATTTGGAGCCACACTCCAGTATTGAATACTTCCAGTGATTACCTAACAGAAAATGATCCAGGGCAGAAACGCCTCTGTGGCCTTTGCCTCCCCAGGGAAGCATATCTTCACAAGAAACAGTGGGTTATATCCCATCTTTCGCATGGAAAATCACTTTATTCCTCTTCAGGGGTTCACTATCTTACTTTGGATACACCTTTCCAGTATTAAATATATCCAAGGATTGCTCCCACACAATATGTGTCAGGTCAGAAAATAGTTGCTGGATTCTATCTCCCCAGGGCAGCATGTAATCTGCACTTTGAACCCTGGGTCTAAGTATTTTCCTTCCCCTGTAAAAGTGTTTCAACCATTTTTAAGGAGCTCATCCACTGAAATTTGGATACCACCTTCAGTACTGAAAACATCCAAGGATTGCTCCCACAGAAAATGTGGACAGACAGGTAGGTCTTGCTGGTCTTTACCTCCAATGGACAGAGTTCCTGAAATAAAATGAGAGTGCTTTACCATGGAAAGGAAAGCATGTAGCCCCAGTGGTTTAGGTGCAGATTACAGGCTGCTCTAGGCATGTAGAGATCAGTGAAAGCTTTCTGATCTGGCAGCTTTTGTATAGAGTTATCTTTGGGCATATATAATATTGGAGGTGGTATCCACATTTGAATAATGGGCTTCTGGATGAGAATGAGAGTTTTTTTCCATAGGAAGGAAAGCACACAGCCTCCAGTGTTTGTGGTGCTGATGAGAGGCTGCACAGGGGAGCCAGGGAATGCCAGCCAAGACCTCTCTATCATGGCACCTTTTTGGTAGGAGCAGTCCTTGGACATAATACTGGAAGTGTTACCTAATTTGGGTAATGGGTAAAATCCCTGGTCATATTCAATTAATTGCACTTAACAGCTGAAAAGCATGTGTGATGTAGAATGCATGTACTGAGTTACCATACTTGTTAGCTTAAATAAAAGAAGCAACTCTACCCTGTGGGTTGAACTTGTTAATGTGTGAACCAAATTTGCTTTCTGCTGGCAGTGATTGCTCCTGCAATAAAGATAAGCTGTCCTTCAATGGTTAACTTGATCTGCAGTGAGGGTGTGCTGGAATTGTTACTGATAAAATTCCTGTATTCCTAAAAACAGTATGAGTCTCAGCAGCATTAGCCTGGACAGGTTACCCCTTAGTGGCTCAAGTTGTTTAATCACTCAGAATAATGACAAAATTCCTTTTCCCCACTCCGAATCTCTCTGTTCTGTCTCTTTAAAGGTGGTTGAGTTGAATAGTGAATATTTCTTTGGTCTTTCATGGTGTTAGGCCTTGGAATTCTTCAGGAGGAATCTCAACTTCTGCTGTATGAAGTGCTTGCCCACTGCTGCTACTGCTTTCCATGTTTTCAGGGGGGTCTCCTGCAATTCCAGTTGTCCTCCATGGGTAGGGTGCTCTAATTTGAGCTATCAGTTCTGCAAAGTTTAGTACAGCAGCCATTGTAAATGTGGTACTTGTTCTGAACAAAACAGCCTGGCTGGGACACTTGGCTCGAACTAAGTACTGACATTGAAATGTTAATTAGCTAATCGCTCCTGGGAATCACCTACACCCCCACCCAAACTAGGACTAGGATGCAAAATAAGCCAGTGGAATCATGGGAAGGGGTTTTGGGGATGAAAAACACCCCAAAATGAAGAAGAGGGGCACAGTGGAGGGAGCTGAATGGGTGTGCTGGTTGGGAAAAGGGAACCCCATCCCTAGTCTGTGTTTAACCTGTCACTATAACCTGCAGAGGACCAGATTGGACTGGGCTGTGGGAAGCAGGCACAAGGAAGCAGACACTTTACCTGGTGTTATGTGTAATAAATATAATTCACACCATTCCTTGTATGAAATATGTAATATTGGATACTTGTTAAACCATGCCCATCGTATTAGTTCCCCCCCGCCCCGCCTTGCAGGCGAGACTGGATGTATATTGGAAACTGATTTACAAGTAAAAAGATGTGCTCGGCCAGGAGATGGGATGGGCCATGTCTGGGCTCCAGGTGTTGATCATCGGTGCTGATCGTCCAAGATGGATATCATGGAAATCCTCAGACAGATCCATGTGAATGCAGCCTTCCTGTAAACTCTCATCAAGAATTCAACTACTCCGGGACATTGAATTATTTCTCCTCATCACCAAAAAAGAAATTTTTATTAACATATGGACTCCAAACAGAAGAAAGGACTGACTGCTAAAATCTTGGCCTCAGGCGGAATTTTCCCTATAAAAACCGCTTGTGCCAGGATGGAGGTGTGTGGGCATAGGAGAAAACCTCTGCTGAGGCTGACTCCTTGTTGCACACCCAGGGTCGACCCCGGGCTCGGCTCTGTCCTTTCCGTGTGGCTGGCTAGATAGAATTTGACCGCAAATAAAATTATTTTTATTTTTAATCTGGCTGAATAAATTCTCATTTATAACACCTGGTGTTACCAGGAGGGCAGGAGAGGGATAGCTGCTGCCGGATCTCGGCAGCAGGCTCTGCACATCCCCCCACCCGGCAGCTACCAGTGTGCCAGGAGGAAAGGAGAGAGAACAGTGTGCTGGGACTTCAGATACAGACTGGACACCTCTTCACCTCCGGCTACCAGTGTGCCACGGAGACTCCAGGGACAGACTCTGTGCCGCCTTCTCACCCTTCGGCTACCAGAAGAAGCTACACCACCCCCCTGCCGAGCTGACTTTTTAATAAAGAGCTGAACACTAATAAAGGCATAGACCCTGTTCATTTCAATTCTGGCATTCAACTGCCTGTAATAAACCATAAGCCACAACTGTCTGTTCTTTCATGAGCCAGACCCTAAGACTGGCTCAGTTGGTCAGAACATAGTGCTCATAACACCACAGTTGTTGGTTCAATCTGTGTATGGTCCATTCACTTAACAGCTGGACTTGATGATCTTTGTAGGTTCCTTTCAACTCAGAATATTCTGTGATCTGTGACATAATGGCAATGCCAACAGCAAACATTGTCTAACGCTGCCACGTTTGATGAGACTGAAGTGTGTTAAAATGATCACTGGCCACTATCTCAGACAGGAGAGATAGGAGTGTGGCTGAGTTCCTTTCTTTTCTTAATCTGTCACCACCCCATCAATGCCCAAGCACACAGGTGCTTATATTGTGGCTGTTAGGTTTGCGGTATTGGGTACTTGTGGGTCTCAGATTCAATCAGAGAGAAATGGAGAGTTTCTATCCAGGCACAAGCCTGGGAAAGAGTTGGAAAAGAATGTAAATAATTCTTTATCTCTCTTGTTATTCACATTGTTTGTAGTTAAGTTCTATCACTGTGTGTCAAGAGCTTTGCACCAATGGTGTGGATTGTTTTCACTTCAGGACCAATGGAATTGGTCCTCATGAAGCTCTGTATAAAAGAGCAGTGTATTTTGAATAAATCTGAGATTTACTCTCACAACCTTCTGAGTCAGTCTTCTCATGACCGTCCTGCCTCGACAGCGACATCTGGGGACCGCAGACATGGTATTGCACCTTACCCTGGGGAACGGGGTCTGGTGGCCCCGGCGTGGCTCTGCACCCTGCCCTGGAGGGACAGGGTCTGGTGACCTGAAGTGGAATTGCAGCCTTGGTTGAAGACCCGAACCTGGTGTCTTGCGGGGGGTCTCCTCTGGCGCGGTTCCACGCCAACAGCCTGGAGGCTGTGCTCGGACACCTTTGCCTTCTTAGAGAAAGGTAACACTGAGGCCGCCTGCCTTCTGGAGAAGGCTTGGTCCCGTTTGGACTGTGGGCCGGATCTTAGAGGCCAGAACTGTGCAGGACAGGTTTTCCCTGAAATAGCGGACTGTCGGACTCTTGAAGTTGACATCTGCTAGGGAAAGGTTTCCTAACAATGGGAAACCAGCCATCTGCAGTCGAGCGAGCAGTCTTGACTGCCTGGCGAGTCTGCATCCCTCTTGTGGGAGCTTGGCTCTCTGAGGAAGACCTGGTCAGACTCTTGAGTTGGGCTAGGGACCGGGGATTTTCTGCAAATCCTAGGTCCCCCTTTGATCGTAAGGTCTGGCTCTACTTGGGACACTGTCTCATGGCGTAAATGCACAAAGGGGACGCTACAGCGTCCAAATTGGCTCCAATCTGGGCGGGCATCGACATAGCCTTGGACACAGGCAGCGATTCTGACCGGAACATTTGGGGATCCCGGACGCAGACCGCGCCACAGCCCGCGCGACGGCTGGCTGCGCGGGCGCACCCTGCTCAGAGAGCAGTGTCGGTGACATCACCCGCCCTTCAAGAGGCAGCCGGGGGGCCTTTGCCACAGCTATGAGCTTCAGCACACCCGGCATTGCATGGATTGCATGGGGCGGCCCCGAACTGGCAGGAGTCACCACCACCCGCGGCCCCGCAGCCCCCCGCTTTCCAATCTGCATTTGTGGGAGGGCCGGCGCTGCCCGCGGCACGTCACGGAGTGGGGGTTGCCTTCTGACTCCTTCGCTGATGGAGCCTGCACAGACGCCACTGTAGCCTTTGGTCCCTCCCCTGGTGTAAGAGAAGGGTGACCTTTTTGTTCGATGCAGCTGCAGATAGTAATTTGTTTCAAAGAAGTTTGTTTTTACAGCGGTAATAGGCAACAGGCTGTGAATTGCTGATAATACGCATTCCTAACCTTTTACAGCGGTAGTAGGCAATAGGCTTTGCAGTGCTTAGCTGATAACATGCATTTCTAAGATAACACGTATACTTGAGACTGTGAGAATCCCCAGATCAAAGGACACCTGTGAGGAAGACAACCAGCCTTCATCCCACGACCACCAGGAGGCAGAAAACGACCACTTAGCAACAGAATGCGATTGCGCAGAAGAAACGCGTGAACTAAGGAAGGGGATAAAAACAGTGAGCTAGGGGGATCACGGCGCGGCAGTTTGGCGGAGCGGTTGCTCCTCTCTGTCGCCGCAGCGCTGCTTTTTGCTTTGCTCTCATATACTCTCTTAAATGAATTAAATAAATTCTGTTAATCGGATCAGATGGCCTCTTGTGCTCGATTATAACAATTTGGTGCCATGACTCGGATCGCGGATTTGGAGGACCCCTCTCTGGGAGAGGCGCCACAACTCCACTCTTTTGAGCGGACTCAGACTGGGGTCTTGTCCTCATCCCGACCGATGAACCCAAAAGCCTTGAGAGGAAAGCAAAGAAAGGGAAGCGGGCCCAAGATACCCCTTAAATTTTGTGCACAAAGTCCGAACGACGACGCAGGAAGCGTAAGTATAAGAGTTCCGTTCGGGCGGGGTCGGGATCCCGGAGTGTGGCGAGTGTGTGAGTTGCATGAGAGGGGAGCCGGCAGCCGGACGCCCCAAGTGAACGCAGACCCTCAGTAGTGCGGTTCCCAAAGCCCGCAAGGGCCTGGGCCACGAACCAGGGGAAGTGACTGTGATTATTTGATTATTTGTGTGTGTTAGAAGGCACTCCGGAGGAATGGGGCAGGGGAAGAGTAAATCCCCCTCCCCAGTGGGGGTAAAACTCCCTTCGATTCCTAAGGACAGTCCCCTGGGATTCATGTTGACCAATTGGGAACACTTCCCGGGAACGAGGGGAAAGGATAAAGCAAAAATGATACATTACTGTATAGAAGTGTGGGGAGGGAAGGAAGTTTCCAAAAATGCATTCTGGCCCATATTCGGGTCCTCAGAGGAATGGGTTAGACAAGCTCTAAACATCTGGGTGAGCAATAAACAACCTCCTAACCCAGAGGAGAGTGACTATGCTAAGATCTGGGTGAGTCGACCAGAGGTGCTTGTATTCAAACTTTCCGAAAAACCTAAGGGGAAAAGAAAGGGACGACCAGAGGAACTGATAGTAGCCCCACCTCCTTATGTTCCTCCTGTACCACGAGCACCCCCCCTCCCCTCATCAGATGATGAGTCTGACTCAGATTCTGAACAGACTGGCCCAGTCACCCGGAGCAGGGCAAAAGGCAAACTGTTTCCCTTGAGGGAAATGCCCATGGGAGGGCCACAACCAGGAATAGGATTCATTTCTGTTCCCTTGAGCTCGGGAGATGTGAGAGATTTCAAGAAGGAGATGGGAAGCCTATTAGATGATCCTTTAGGTGTGGCAGAAAGAGTGGATCAATTTTTGGGCCCCAATATATACACTTGGGAAGAACTGCAGTCCATACTGAATATCCTATTTACGGTTGAAGAAAAGAACATGATTAGGGCAGCTGGGATGCGGGTCTGGGATGCCCAGCCGGCACATGCTCAACACCCAGCTGACATTAAATGGCCTCTTCAAAATCCTAATTGGAATAACCAAGACCAGGATCATAGAGCCAATATGCGGGACTTCCGAACCATATTAATTGATGGTATTCGGGAATCGGTCCCCAGGGGTCAAAATATCAATAAGGCATTCAATGACAGACAGAGAAAAGATGAAACACCCACTGAGTGGCTGGAGAGGCTGCGAAAGAACTTCCAATTATATTCAGGATTAAGACCGAATGATCCAATGGGGCAGGCAATATTAAAAGTGCATTTTGTATCCAAGTCTTGGGACGATATTAGAAAGAAGATACAAAAGATGGAGGATTAGCAGGATAGGGATTTGGCAGAGCTGCTGCGGGAGGCACAGAAAGTGTACATCCGGAGAGAGGAAGAGAGTCAGAAGAGGCAAGTTAAAATGATGGTTGCTGCGGTAAGGGAAAGTAGGAGCATAGAGACAGGACAGAAGAAGTTTACTCGAGACAAAGCGGGTAATAAAGAAAGGGGGAGGGGAACGGAAGAAAAGACTTGTTATTATTGTGGCAAAAAGGGACATTTCAAGAGAGAGTGCAGAGTGCGGCTTAGAGATGAGAAAGAATTCAAGGCCGACTAGGGGGGTCAGGGGCTCTACTTTATGGGGACCCAGAGACATCAAAAAGAGCCCTTGATAAAATTAAAGGTGGGTCCCCAAAGCCAGGAAATAGAATTCTTGGTCGATACAGGGGCGGAAAGATCTACCATTCAATTCCTGCCCCAAGGCTGTACCCTGTCAAAACAGACAGCTATGGTAGTAGGGGCAAAAGGGGAACCATTTGAAGTACAAATTATTAAAGAGGTAATGGTAGAATCAG